GGGATTTGATGTGAAGCACCAGAACCCAGCTTCAGACCAGCCTGCGCCACCTGCAGGAAAAGAGTGTTAACGGTTTGTTTTTTATTTAAACCTCTGAAGTGTTAGTTTAGTTGACTGCAGTGTAACGTCGCGTATCGGCAAGAAGTCCGTAAAGAATATTTGATGTTGTTTAGAAAGCGTTTGTCCAGCAGACTGTAAAAAGTCCTGGGAAGTAGTGGCCACAACCAAATTTAAATTTCCTTATGAAAAGTATTTGATAATATATTTTTATGTATAAAAAAAAAAAAAAAAAGAATACTGTCTGATATAATATATATATTTATATATATTATATATATCATGGTTTTGCTACTGACAGTATTAATCAGGCTGTAGCTGTAGGTTGACTTAGTTCTGTTATTTTCAATATCTGAACTATAAGCTTACAGGTTGAGTGTTAATCTGCAGAACAGAAGACTATTTCTGCAGATTATTATTACCACGAAGACACATTTGTCTGACGGTCAAGTGCCTGAAAACGCTTCATGTGTCGCCCACTTCACACACGTTTAGAGGGAAGTTCCACTTTGAGTGCAGGTGAGTGTGACACATAACAAACACAAGCAAAACTTTAAAGAAACTTTTGTCGAAAACACTCGTCGCCTGCAGGTGGTCCTGCCTCTGCTCCGCCTGGGTTTCTTCCTGTAAATTAAAAGAGTGCGTACATTTAAACAGCTTCTCATTTTAACGAGGGAAAACAAATATGACCTCGGGCGTGGATGCACGTTTAAAGCTCTAAGCGAGCTGTTGGGAGATGTTGAATGCCAACACAATAATAATAACGTTCGGCCTTTTGTTGAGTTTATTTTAGAATTTGGGAGAGAAAACTCCAGCTTTCAGGAAACAAACTATAAGAAACTGGAGGAAAACATTTATTTTCTAAGCAACCAAAGCTTAAAGGTGCAAAACTGCAGGCGTGTCTGAATCTGTTTAAGTGAATTAAAGAAGCCAGATCCACGAGGTGCTTCACATCGAAAACCCAGAACACGAGTGGATCAGTCGTTTCACTCACTCAGTGCCCAAATATCAAAATGCTAAGGTTTCTTTAGTCGAGGACAACCCGTCATTTCTTTTTTCTTCTACTTTTACTGTAAATGCAAGCAGCTACAAAGCTTTTGAAGTCAGTGGGAGGTCGCAGGGTGATTTAATGATTACGTGTGATTTCTCTGTGGGACACGAGCTTCACCAGGTTTCTTCTTTTTCTTTGCTCTGAAGCTGCGGCCACATCCCCCCCCGCTCAGCAACACTGCCCTGCACACACGCCTGAATGCTGATCACAGAGTGTTGGACTGTGTGAGAGTGAACGTGATGGTGAAACCCGCTAGAATAATAACTTGGTGTGTCCGTGTTTCTCTGCAGAAGTGAACAGGGGAATATCTGCAGCACTGAGGGTGTCATGTGACCGTACCTTTACCTGTCATTGGTTCATTGGCTTCATGTTTAATAACCTCCCATTTAAAAAGAAAAAAAGAAGAAGCGGCCAAAGATGAACAAGGTTCAAGTTTAAACACAGGGTGTGGAGCTGAGAGGAGTCTTCTATGCAAAAAGAAATTTTCACCAAACTTCCAAAAATCAGAGCAGAGAGGTTGGACGTTAAATATCCACAGAAATAAAAAATGAAGACTCTTCTCTTTGGTTGTCACGCTGCCGAGCGGCTGCAGACGTCTTTGCAAGCATCTCGTCACAGTTTAAAGCTCCAACACGTTGCTTCACTTTGAGCTCATGAGCAGCTTTTCTTCATCATTTTGGACTTTATTGTTTACATTTATACTCGTCACATAAATAAGCTAACGCAGGAACACGTAGCAGACTACACCGTGCGGCCAAAAGTATGTGGACAGCCCTGTAGTGCACATTCCCTCGGGTGCTCGTGACTCACAGGGTGTGTCCAAATTCTTTGGGGGGGGGGGGTGTTTTGCAGCAGGATAAAAGAGTCTTTGTCTTCGTTAATGCACTTAGTGTAGGTTTTATTAAACTCAATTTTCATACTCTATTTTTATTCTTGGTTTCTGCCAACGACTAACAACACTTTGAAACACTCAGTTTTTAAAATATCTGTTTTCTACGAGGACGGTCAGCTTGCTCTTTGTCAGCGTTTGACTTTTCGATGTAATGAACGAGACATTTTGAGAGTTCTTGGGAGGCAGAAACGTGTTTTTGATTCTGCACGTGGTTAAGAAACGCGTGCATGCGTTTTGTTTTTGCACTGATTTTTTTATTTATTTTTTATTCTCGAGGGAAACAGCAGCTAAATCCACGATTCATTAAACCCAGATATCCAAACGAGACGGCGGAAGAGGCTGAGCGGAAATCAGCTGTGGGTGGTTGATGAGGATACCTCCTGAAGTTGTGATGCTTATAAAGACCTCTGCAGCTGTTCTCCCAGCATCCTTTGTGCACAACGATCCCTTTTTGGGAAATGCGCTCGCTCTTCTTCTTGCTGAGGGTTAGATGTTGTCTCGGGTTAGCTTAGCTTAGCATAAAGACTGGAACCAGGGGGAAACAGCTAGCCCAGCTTTGTTAAAACAAACCGTGCTGCACTACAGACTTTATGCTAAGCTAAGCTGCGAGCAGTAGCTACATATGTAGTACACACAGGCGTATTTCCCAAAATGTTGAACTGTTCCTTTAAAGACTGAAAGCTAGTTTACATTTTTGTTGCCAACAAAATGTTTTCCATCTCCACGTTGCTGTAGGAACGACGTGGTGTTTCGTCAGGCCTTAAAATCGGTTTATTTTACAGTGAGGATCAGTTTGTTTGATGTTTTACTGTTTTTACCTCAAACTCCTTTAATTTTAACTTGTTTGACCCTAAAAATCTTTTATTTTGACCTTTTTTTTTTGTTGTTGTTGTTGTTGTCTTGTGTTTTTTTTGACGAGTCTCAAAATGTGAAGCGCGGTCTTTTTGTTTTTCGGCTCTCTTTGAGGTTTTATTTTTAGCCGTTGAGGTGAACAAATGTGAGAATCAGCACTTTGATTGAGGTAAAAAACTAAATAAAGAGGGAATGTTAGCGTAGCATGCTCATATTAGCTGCACCTGAATCATCATCATCGTCATCAGCCGGAGAGGAAAGCGGTCGCTCGCTCGGACGAATCAAAAGGAAGGAAAGTTCGCTCGGATGACACTGCTGTAACAGATATGAAGTTTTTCTTTGCTGTACTAATGACATGAATTGTAATCCAGTTGTATAATAGTATATATTGTAGTATATTTGGACCTGTACATAAACGACAGAAACACAGATTCATTCTCTTTTTTTTGTTTGTTAACTTCTCTCTGGTTTGCTAATAAAATGTTGATGATACACGGCTTCGACATCGCTGTTTGCATGTGTGATGACTTTTCAACCCTGACAATAAAATCACTTCCTTCACTTGTTTTTGTATTTTGTCGTCACTGACAGATTTTTCCGTTTGTCTTTTCCATGTTTGTACATCAGTGTCGTCCATTTTCTGACCGTGTCGGTTTCAGTTTAAGTGTCAAAGTATTGCTGGGCGATGACAATAAATTACTGTCATCAAAAAAATGTGTTCACATATAGTTCAAAATGCTATTTGATGCTTTGAATATTGGATTTTTTATGTGATTTTTGCAGATATTAGATGCATATGAATCAAAGGATGCCCAATGATTTATATATCTGTGCCGTGCTGCTAATGCTAACTGTTGATACCTAAACAACAGCAGTCAAACTGCATGTTGAAATGAACTAAAGTTAATTACAGTTCTTTAAAAAAAGCTCTGTGTTCCTGTCAGGATTGTTTGTTCCAGATGCTTTTAAAATCTAAACTTTTATCATTTCTTTTATTTATTTATATATATATATATATATATATATATATATATATATATATATATATATATATATATATATAATATATATATATATATATATATATATATATATATATATATATATAATTCAAACAGGAACCACCACAGGACTATGTTATATTTTTGACACAAATTAATGTAATGGTTGCCCATAAGTAGGGAAAGTAATAAACAAAAAACTATTTAAATAAATAGAAAAATTAAATAAACATCAATGAAAAACATTTAAGTAAAAAACATTACAACACATGAAAATCTGGTTAAAAGTTTGTGAAGGAAGATTAATTTAAATAAATGCTACTTTATAAATTTTTATTCCTGATCATTAGTAATCGGGTCACAGAACACAGCGAAACACCTGAAACGTTTCCCGCCGCTGTGTCTCACAAACCTGCAACCATCCTCTGGCCACATATTTCATTTAAGTACACTGAACGACTGAATCAAACAGCTGAGTGCTTTAACTTTGTAAAACCAAAGAAATGAGGGATGACGAGTATTTAACTACAACCTGTGGAGGAAACAACACTGACAGACACTTCACCTGCTGTGGCTAATTCTGCTCAGGGCCGTTTCCAGGCTCTTGACACATGGGGGCCTTTGCCCAGCCCAGAAAACTTTCATGTTTTCATCTGTTTTCCAGCTTCAGAGCGTCCTGGAGCAGAGAGACGGTCAAACAGAGGGGTATCTCTGAGCGAGGACACAGAGCGACAGCTGCGTCATGTTATTCTCTCGCTACTTTGAGGCCACTGTTAACCGTTTCTGTAGCAAATACACTGACGGACCGAGTGTCCATATGTGAAGACTCATGAGTGAGAATGTGTTGCTCATAACGACACATAACAGAGTCGGGGATAATCTTTTTTTATGTTTTGTATTTCTGAAAACAAAAACAAAATGTGCCACTGCACTCCTGCCGCACCCGCCACGTGCGAAGTCGATTGGATGAACGGTTCTTGACATAACCGAAATAAAAACAGACGCACGTCTGGCTCTCAGCTAAAAGCCCTCGGTTCCGACTGAAGATGTAAATCTGAACAGATTTATAGTTTTTATATAGTTTAATTTCCTCATACTGCTGCGGCACAATCAAACAACCAGGAGGAAATAGTGCATTTGTTGTGGTCTATTTTCAGCAGCGGATGAATCCACATGTGGTGCTACACAAACAATGTGACCCGAGCGCAGCAGTGGGGCTCACTGGTGGGTTTAATAGTTTCTGTGGCTCAGAGGAGACATCAGCATGTTGTGTTGTCTACCACTGGAGGGCGCTGTACCCGGGAACACGTTACTGTCCTCACCGTTTTCCACCTGTTCATGTTTCACTCGTCAGTCATGAATCTGAGCAGCTTTAGGACCCAGAGCAGAGCAGCTGTCAGAGTCGTCCGTGCTGTAAATATAGCAGCGTGTGTGTGTTTGGATCGGAGCAGTTGGGGGTCATGAGGAGACCTGAACAGACCGGATCAACCTGACCGGCTCCGTCCTCAGTCTGCAGGACCAGAAACAGGAAACACCTTCCTCTAAAACCCAGAGAGAGAGAGAGAGAGAGAGAGAGTTGACCTGAAGATCAGCTGGCAGCTGCTGGTGAGTCTGTCTGTCCTTGTGAGGGGGTGAGGCGTTCACTGACCGCCGCCTCTGTAGGTTCACTGTAGATTTGTTCTTCATAGTAGGCACGAATGTTTGATTCATAATGTTATGTATATTTGATCCTGATCTTTATTGCTTTGTGTGTTTAAAAGCTAAAATGAGTAAAACATTTTTTAGAAAGAGCAAGAAAAAGCACAAACACATTTCTTTGATCCATTTAAAAGGTAAGGAGCATTTTACAGTCTCAGGTTGCTTCAGGTGAGACGCTGAAATGTGGTCCAGAGAGTCCCGTTAGAGTCACAGATCGAGGAGTCTGAAGGTTTGTCCAAACGCCACCTCACAGCACAGAGCTTTATAATACTGAGAGAGAAGATTTTACAGCTCTGAAAATGTCATGGTGGATATAATTTTATCTTGAGGTAAAGAGCAGAGACTTGTTCATGTTAAAAAGATAATCTACCAGGGATGTGCACTCACAGGACTGTCTAATGCAGCACCTCGCAGGATGATGTCACACTGCCTTACAGCAAAAGTTTGGTTTAGTGATTTTAGAGGTTTATTTTTGCATATGTCTGTTTTCATGGTCAGTTTGACCAAAATTCCAAAAAACCATCAGATGACAGGAGAGAGAGTCTAATAAAAGCTTGAATGGTTAAATTTATTTATCCATAAAAACATGCAAACAGAACTCTGATCCTGTTAGAGCCTGTCCGAGATGGGATCTTTAAGACTAATACCGATTTTTATTTTTGAGGATTATAAAATCCGATATTCCAAATGATCGCCAGATATTCTTCTCTTTTTTTTTAACATGAACAAAGATTAATCCTAACGTGTTCTGTAGTTATGAGACCTCACCAAGATAACATGATATAATGCAGTTTAAAAAGATATGTAAAATGTGTTTTGTGTGTTGCCAACAAGGGGAGTTGCCGAGCGCCCTCTGGTGGACAAACGATGCAACAACAACACTCGTAACATGATTGAAGAATCCGTTTTCTGTCTCTGTTTCTTTTTTTAATTGTTATTTGTTCAATAATAAAACAGTTAAAAACATTAACAGAATTGTCCAAACAGCTCAAAGTAAACTACGATTAAAATTAAATAAAATCTTTACGTCTTCCTTACAAAGTTGCATCTGCTGTTGGATAAAAGAGTGAGAGAACCTACTTTTTAGTCTGGATCTTAAAATCTAAAAAGAAATAAATTCACACTGATATTAAATTGCAAAGAAAACTTAACATTTATTTTTACCTGAGAAAAGAAACAGACATATTTACAGTGCAGTGAAGTGCACATGCTGAGTTCTGAATAAAGTAACTTTATAAAAAAATGGTTGATCAACCCTTTAATTAGTAACTGATTGTCTCAGCAGTAGATGTTCCTACTGTCAAGTAAAAAGCTCACCTGCTTCTCTGTCTGACCAGGTGGCAGATACCTGTGGACGTCAGCGCCTGAGTAAGGAAGCCTGTGAGGGTCAGTTCTCAGGATGCTGCAGCTGTGTAAAGTCACCAAGGCCGTGTTCATCAGTAACGCCCGCTCGGCCTGCAGCGACGAGCTCATCCAGCAGGAGGCCGTGACGCTCTGCATCAACGTGTCCAAGCAGCAGCCGTTTCCCTCCGCCGGCGTCAAGAAGCTGCAGGTCCCGGTCTACGACGACCCGTGCGAGGACCTGTACAGCCACTTCGACCGCTGCGCCGACGCCATCCAGAAGGAGGCGAACCGCGGGGGACGCTGCGTCGTCTACTGCAAGAACGGCCGCAGCCGCTCCGCCACCATCTGCATCGCCTACCTGATGAAGCACCGCAAACTGACTCTGGCGGAAGCAGTGCAGGTGAGCCAGGTGGAGGTCACACCTGCGGGTAACACTCGGCGAGGCGACACCTGAGAGTCTCCTCTGTCCACCAACCACAGATGTTTAAACCTCCTCCATGTTTGTTTACCATGCTTTGGGTTTTTCACCAGTCAGTAAACAAAATGAAGTGTGATCCAAATATGTTTAACAAAATGTTCATCTTTGCAGAGTAAAATGTTTCTGGAGGGGAACTTTAATTGGAAAATACGAGTCTTCAAATTAAGGCGATCTTTAGATGAGACGTCTTTGTTTTACATTCACAAATTTTCATTCAGTCATGTTATGACTCACCGATAATCGTGAGTCATTATCGGTAAACGATTCACTTTCACTAAAAAACATATTAAAATCGTGACGATGTGACGTTTGTTCCAAACAAACACGTTTCCTTACATGTGCAGAACAGGATGTTCAGGCGCCTCTGCAGCACATATTTTACCTTCATCATTGAACTGCAGCTTCTGGGATTTGGATATTGTGATTTTGAAAGTATTTCGATGACTTGAGCAGCTCTCATATGCAGTAATAACACGGGTGTCACTAAGGAGAGCTGCCGACCTTTAGGCGACACAGATCCGGCTCCAGCAGCTACAGATTGTTACGATCCGCTCAGAACATCTTGAATGTTTTTCAGACTTTTCTGCAAATTTTGCTGTTTTTGTAAACTTTTATAACTTTTATTCAGATCAGAGAAAAGAAAAATCAGCACGTCAGCACTCGGCTGTTAAATGTCGGGAGCTGCAGGTGCAGAGATCCAACGACCCACAGAAACGTGTAAAACCTGCTGTTTCTAAATACATACTTTAATTTAGCAGAACGATGAGAGATCAGTAGAACATTTGAAGGTGTCTCACTGTTCTCTGATCTGCTGTTCAAAGCTCAGAAACAACAGACTGTTTGATCTGAAACAGCAAGTCTGCTGAAACTGAAGCTTGTTTTCAGGTCGCGTATCGATTGCCAAGGTGCCCTGGAGCGGCACGCTGACAGCAGCTGCTCAGTGGGTCTGTATTTATGCTCCAAATTAGTGATAGACAGATTAATCTGGCCGATATCTGGCATTTTGAGACAATCGGCATCGGCTGATACCCGCAGTCACAAGGCTGATATATCATCCTAAATGTCAGCAGATGTGGTTTAACAGCATGACTGGCTAGTGTTGATATCAGCATTAAATATCCTGCTCTCTAAATATCGACATCAGTCAGAGAAAAACAGGTATCGATCGACCATTCTCAAAGTACCAAATGTTTGACTTGTGTTTTTGTAATATTTTTGATTTCCATTCATGAGTCCTCCTGTAGCTGCATGTTTTATATTCTGTCTGAGCTTCTGCATGTTTCAGTTAATGTTAAAATAATGCAGCATTCAGTCATATTCCTGTTAACATTAATATTTTGTTGCCTTGTATGTTTTGTGTTGTGACTAGTGTAGTATAAACGTGTTTTTTTTCACTAACATTAATATTCTCATTACTTTTTATTTCTTATTTTTCCTGCATGTTTAATCTTACATTCTCAGTGACTGTGGAACATCTGTCCAGGATTACAGAAGAAGAACAGTAACTTTATTTATTAATGTGCAACCTGAATACATTTCCTCAAAATAACAACTTCATTACCGAGTTTAAGAACATTCATTAACAAACATTCAGTATCTCAACACTTGTTGCCGTTTTCTTTCCCCAGAAGGTGAAGACGGCTCGTCACGTGATCGATCCGAACCCCGGCTTCCTGTCTCAGCTGCAGCGGTACGAGCAGGAGCTGAAGAAGAGACGAGGAGAGACGGACTGACGGACACAAACCAGACAGCCGGCAGGTGAACGACGTCCTCTCCGTCCACCTTCACTCTGTCTGTTCTGACTGAATGGACACGAAACCCAGACAGACACAAACTACATAAATTCACTTCTTTTAATGGGTTTGAAATAAAAATATTTAACAAAACATTATATAATAAGTAGAGAGTTGCAGCTACTTCACATAAATCAGAAACAGTTAAAAGGCCGAATTCTGTGAAATAACTCAAATAGACTGAAAAGAAAAGAGACAATAACGTTAACTCTTCAAATAATAACTTTATTCGCACAGCACTTTTATTTACATGATTACAAAGTGATTAAACATAAAATAAAAAGACAGTGTCCGTAAATAAAAAACAGAAAAGTAAAATAATATCTGTGAGATTTTAAAATGTGTGTTTTTATCTGATGTTTAAATAAATGTAAACAGTAGTTTATTCTACAGTTTGGGTGCCATGACAGTAACATGTAAACTTAAAACTGGTTTCCATAAGTGCTCAGTAGGTCAGAATTATTATCCTCTCCACACGCGTAGTG